GGGCGAGTTCTGGCGCACTCTGGATGTGCATATGATGTAGAACGTTACTCCTTCAACTTTCAACTTTTAGAATCGCGATATCTCAGGAATGGTGATTCTTAGTAAAAAAGTATAAGGACTATTTTTGTAGATAATTTTAAGATCTATAATTTTTGTCTGGGCTACTTTTTTGATAAAACTTACCGTTTTCGAAAAAAATGTAAAAAACCTCAAACTTTGACCTTTGACTCCGAATAATTTTTTTAGCACACATGGAATCGATGGGGACTTTTGACACTTTATTTCTAATAGTGTACCCAAGGTCTCTGTCGGAATTTTCGTTATTTGACCACTATTTTTATGACAAATTTGACCGGACTATACAGGGTTATTCATAAATATGAAGCAATATTTGAATCTCAAAAATTACCTATAAAATGATGTTAATTTTTATAAAAACTCGTGTCCTATCTCTACTGATAAGAATTTTACAGCCCCTGGAATTTGGGTATAGAAATTTGGTTTTTTTTTGTAATAACTTTGGAACTATTTGACCTAATATTATAAAATTAATAATAATGAATAAAACATATCTTTTAAAATAATAATCACAAAAACCGGATACTTCTACTCAATTTCCGATTACAGCAGTTGCAGGTCACATTTTCTGTGTTTTTCTATTTTTTTGGCCTCTTAACACTAATTTTTTATTGCTTAGATCGATCGATTAGATGAGATCGAGTAACCAATTTTGAATACAAAACGCATAACCTTTTATACCACTAAAATGGACCGTTTTAAAGATATTTTAATTTAAAGTGAGTACTGCACAACGCTGAAAATGAAAAATATGAATTTTGAATGAGTGGTATCTACGGCAACCAATGACCATGGTCACCTAAATCCCTGCCAGGCATCTTTTAACTTTGACGTTAAATTTTTGTGAATTTTTATTGAATTAAATGCTACGAGGTCCATTTGGATTTATTCACATAAGTTATGTTTGGAGTCTGAGGTAAGCTCTTTTATTAAATATTTTCGATTAATCGTCAAATAATCGTCCAATCTCAAGTTGACAGATGTCTGACAACAAAATATGTGACCATGGTCATTTGTTGCCGTGAATATCACTCATTCAAAATTCATACTTTTTGCTTTCAGCGTTGTGCAGTTCTCAGTATAAATTAAAATATCTTTAAAACGGTCGATTTTAGGGGTATTAAAGGTTATGCGTTTTTTATTCGAAATTGATTACTCTACCGATTTAAGCAATAAAATATTAGTATTAAGAAGCCAAGAAAATTGAAAAACCCAGAAAATGGGACCTAAAACTGCTGGAACCGGAAATTGAGTAGATGTGTCCAGTTTTTGTAATCACTGGTTTAAAAGATATGTTCTCGCAAGTAACCATTCCAAATTTTATAATATTAGGTCAAATGGTTCTAAAGTTATCTATAAAAATTTTGAAGTTATGAGGGTTTAAATTTTGCACTTTGACTCTATTTATTTTTGTTGGAAAAACGAATTTTTTAAGTTTTTTTTTGCTATAGGCTATTAAAAGAAGAAACAAGGAAGCTGTATCCTAAATTGTAACTCTGTTTAATGTTATTTGTGGCTTTTATTGGCAAAATTTGTATCCCTTTACTAAATAATTGTCAAAAACATATACAGGGTCATCAGTATTATTAAATAGACATAAAACAATGTCAAATGTCAAAAATTTTTAACAGATAGAATTTTTTAAACATTTTGTTTTAGTACTCTGGGGATTACCCAATTACTCCCTTTCAAGGAAGTGCGCGATTTTTTAAACAGCCTGTATGTTTTACCAAAAAAATTCTTCTTAATTCCAATGAGATCGAGATATTCATAAGTATAATGAAGTAGAAGAAAAATTTCAAGTAAGATAAGATACCAGGAACATGAAAAAAATGTTTAAAAAATTCTATCTGTCAAAAAATTTTGACATTTATTTTTTGACATTTGACATTTTTTTATGTCTATTTAATGATACTGATGATCTTGTATATGTTTTTTTTTATAATTAGTTATTAAAGATACAATAATTTTGTCAATGAAAGCCACAAAGAACATTGAACAGAGTTACAATTTAGGATACAGCTTCCTTGATTCCTCTTCTAATAGCCTGTAGCAAAAAAAACTTGGAAAATTGTTTTTCCAACAGAAATAAATAAAGGCAAAGTGCAAAATTTAAACTCTCATAACTTCGAAATTTTCAAAAATAATTTTTTTTTAAATTTTTTCCATGTTCCTGGTACCTTACCCTACATAGCATTTTTTTTGGAGGCGCGAGTTCTGGCGCACTCTGTATGTGCATATCATGTAGAAAGTGACTCCTTCAACTTTTAAAATCGCGATATCGCAGAAATGGTGATTCTTAGAAAAAAGTATAAGACCTTTTTTGTAGATAATTTTAAGGTCTATCTTTTTTGTCTGGACTATTTTTTTGATAAAACTTACCGTTTTCGAATGAAATCCAAAAAACCTCAAATTTTTACCTTTGACCCCGAAGAACTTTTTTAGCACACATGGGATTGATGGGGACTTTTGACACTTTATTTCTAATGGTGTACCCAAGGTCTCCACCAAAATTTAGCTCTGTCGGAATTTTTGTTATTTGAATTGTCTATTTTGACCGGACTATTAATTTATTTAAAGCGGGAATATTATCCGGATCTGTATTTACCTTTAAAGAAATGAAGAAACTCTTCAAGTCTAAATTTGCGGCTATAAACAATGAAATAAATGTAGTATATGCCAGCTTTTCAGGGGGTTTGGAACTTTAACATACTACCTACAAATTGCAACATAACTAAACAAAAATGAATTTATTATATGTAATTATAATCATTTTTTTAATTCGTAACCAACAATGATTTTAGAAATCAATCAACCTTCAAACTTTTCGACTATAACAAATAAAACTACAATCATTGTATTATTATATTTCTTTTTTTTTATCTTTCTACGATAAACTACAGATTTGCAAAATTATTTTGTAAAAGAAATTCCGGAATAACATCACGTAGGTATAAAAACGAAATAACATTTTGAATAAACAACTGGAAGTGAAAGTAACAGGTACACACCTCACGCCAGTTTATTAGTTAATACCAGACCACCTCCTTATGTGTTTCTTTAAAACCATATGAATGTAATCGGAGATCTTCAGTAAATCATTGTTACTGCAAAAGCACAAAAAGTGGCGCTTAAAACATATACGTATAGCGTGTGCAATTCGTATTCAATTTTATTATAATATTGTGTCACTTGAAAAAATAAATTGAGGCCAATAAACATGTAAGTTGTCTTTTATTGTAAGTATTTGTTTTTAATTACTTAGTCTTACATAATTTTAATTAAAAATAACTACATTGCTTAATTATACATTGTAGAAATAAAGAAGTAAATTAATTTAGTTGGAATATTTCAAACGCTAGTAATACGATTTCTCTCCACGTGCTATTTCTAAAATTAAATAATTTACCAATTATGTAACCAATAAACACAATTAAAAGAAAAAAAATCACTTAATCAAAAATAAAGTAATGGGCTTCAAGAAATAATTTCTACTAAAGAGTCACATGCTTCCGTAACGATAGAGAAAGTATTATTTGTGTAAGCGATAATATGCAAAACAATTCGGCACCTTGCATCGCATAACTATTAACCATGTTTCACATTTCAGCAAAATGACTCGTCTTTTGATTTTAATAACTCTAACAGTTCTGTACTCAAGTGTAAATTCAATGCCTGCTGATCACACAGGACTTTTGCCAGACTCTCATATTGTTGTAGCGCCTTTCAACAATCTTGCAGAAATCACCAATAACAAAATCGCACAAGTTATAAAAGCCAAGGTAATGATCATAATTTTTTCATATTTATGATAATACCGACATTTAAATTATTTTTAGACTATTACCATTACACCACCGTTTCCAGACAAAGGGCGAAAACATGCAGTTCTAGAGTATGAAGATCCTTTCAGTAAAAAGGACTCAACATATGGCCAGTTACAACAATTTGTAGCAAGTTTTTACAACCCTAAACCTATAGTTGATACAATACAAGAACATGAAAAGTATGGTAACGATGGGGAGAAGTTTAGAAGTGTTGGAGTAGCTATTGTTGGTGGAGTTGAAGGAATTTCAAATCTTATAAATGCTGCAATTGAAGTAAGCTTTTAAAAATATTAAGTATTTATTGTCATAACTTTATTTCCGTTTCAGATACCAACTGAAACTGTTAAACAAATTAGTCGAAAAATTTCAGATTCGTTGAATTCAGTGGGAGCTAAATTCGTAGGACTTTAATTTTTAAAGTAATCAACTAGTATGTTATATCATTAAGAATAAAAGTGAGTCTTTTTGTGCTAAACCCAGAGATTATACGCCGACTATTACGAAGCCGGCAACTGGGCGAAACACAAAAAAAAACCTTCTATTCTGAATGATATACAGGGTGTCAATTTTAAAACTTGCAATCGGGAATATCTCTAGAACTAAAAAAATTATGGAGAATCACTCAAAACCGTTTTGGTAGTTCCTAGACAGAATCAAAATGGGATGGTAAGTGAGTAAGTGGTAAGTAAGTGCATCTCCACTCATCCTTAAAGCCACAGCCACCTCAAGTTAACAATAAAAATTTTAAATGGCACTACCCTACTTATGATACATCGTTGGAATGCTCATAACAAGCGCTTTTCAAAAATGTCCTACAACAGCCTATTTGGTAAAGCCGTTTTCAAATTATTTAAAAATAAAGACTTTAAATTTTCATTCTTTTTATTATATTCAAGGGTGGTTGAAGGTGCGTCATTTACCATGTCATTTTGATTTTCCCTAGGAACCCCCAATAGTATATTACAGTACGAGTGGAGAAACTAAAAGATTCACCCACGCGTGTGTCGGATTTACACACAAGGCGAAGTCGAGTATGGAATGACACACGAGTGGGTGAATTAGTTTCTCACGAGTGCTGTATATCGTTTTGTTCAATCCTGTCAGTGAATTTTGGAACACAATTAAAATTTTATAATTTGTGCAATTTATGTCATAAAACATAGGGAGCACTTTCGTTGTAATTAACGTGAGGTAAAAGTGTAAGGTAAAACCATAAATAAATAAACATATTGAGCAATTCTGAACGAAAGATTTTTCTTTGAGTGGGCAAATGGTTTTACCTCACACTTTTACCTCACATTGTCATGAGTGAGCAAAACAAATACTTTCTCGTTTTGTATCCCAGTGAGAAAGCAAGATTGAATAAAATAGTTTTGATTAATTCTCAATAACTTTTTCAGTTCTAGAAATATTGCGAATTGCAACTTTTAAAATTGATATAAAATTGACGAAAATTTGAAAATTTTTAATGTTAATCTTACTATTTTTGTTTTTGACATCTGTTATTTATGCATATGGGCGACTCGTAGTACACCCTAGTATACTATAGCATCGGTTGAATACAGGATTATCATAAAGCACATAAAACATATACAGGTGTCCCACGAGTAATAATGAGTCTGAAAAAATTTTGGAAGCAACCAACATTACATTCCAAAGATAACGTGGATATTAAAATATTTAGTTTTTATAAATTAAACATAGTGACCAAACAGCACACTTCAATTTATAAAAAGTCAACCCTTTGGTGAGAATTACAAAAATTTTGCGGAAAGGACCAATAAGATCCTCATTTATGAAGAATGTTTGAAAAATGCTTCGCAGTCTGCACGTTTCTATCCAGCGCGATATCCAAATAGACGGAGTAGTCATTTTGACCGATAGAAATTTGTCAAAAATAAAAATACGATTACTGTGTTTAACTAATTAAAACAAAATATTTTAATATGCACGTTATCTATGAAATGTAATGTTGGTTGCTTCAAAAAACTTTTTAGGCTCATTATTACTCTTGGGACCGCCTGTATAGCTTTTAACGTCAGCTTCATAGACGTCAAAATCTGAAAGAAAAAAAACACCTTTCTCAGCACAACATAATTTAAAAACAACAATAAGCAATTAAAATCACAAGAGAAATGGAGAGGTACTTAACAAATTCTTAAAGTAAATGTTCAAAATTACTTCTAACGTTACGGTTCCAAAGGGAGTTAATGCAGGCCAATTTTCTAATCTTCTAAAAAGTTTGTTGCTTGGAGCTCGACGTTTGGGATAACACTCTCGGTACAAATTTTCTGCAGTAACATTTCCCAAAAATCAGTATCACATCCGTTCTCTCACCGTTTGAATACATTTTTAAAACGAACGAAAAATTGTGAAAAAAAAATTGTGAATTGTGATTCTTTTACTTAATTTATAAAGTCTGTCCCATTTAATAAACAATTGTCAGTGTCAAAATCAAAAAGAATTTTCGTTGTGTGGCTTTAATTGACAAAATTTATGAACTGGGTGTGTTGCTCACTCCAAATACGGGTACGTAATGTAGATTTAATTTCTCAATTTTCCCTTTTAAAGCGACATGAACTACTTTTATACCCGATTTTGACACTGACAATTGTTTATTAAATGGAACAGATTTTACATACTTGAATTCCTGATTTAATTTACCCGTCGTCTGCGTTGATTGACAGTAATAAAAGTCTGGGCAATGCCAAAAAATGGCCGTTGGGGGAGCGACGAGTCTGTAGTCTAATGGAATCTGTATATTTTGGTTTGAAACCTTGATACATTTTTGTATACAAAAATTTACTTTTCTGTTTTATGGGTTGCATAATAATAAATGCGTACTTGTTTACTTTTGAATTTTTTCTAAGAACTAGACTAAAAACATCAAAAATTAAAACATTTTATACGCAAATATAATTTTATTTATTTACAAAATTTGAGATTTACATTTGGGTTAGATAGTTATTTTTAATCTTTACAAATTTACAAGAGCATTAACATATTACAATAACTCTTTATTATGTCTTCAATATTTCAAATAAAAAACACTAGGATTAATTTTATTCGTTCTCAGTATTTGCAATGCCGTAAAATGTATCTTCTGTTCGACTATACTCCATTTTTTCTTTAATGGCCATGTCATCTACAATAAGGGAACATATTTTCTCAACGTCTTTTAAATTATTACCTTCAGCAGTTATTCTGTTTTTAATTAAATTAGTCAAGCCTGGATCCCCTTGGGAATTTCCCATATATCTGTCTAAAGTTCTTCTGGATGGAGCTTTTAAAAACTGACTTTTTTTCGCAAATTCGTAACCTTTTGAAGAAATGTACCTCCAGGCAATACAATGACGTACTGTAACTTCAGACCATCTTGGCTTTTTTAGGGAATAATTATAAATTTGATCAAGTAAAAACACAGCCCTTGGTTCTAAGTCCTTTGCATCTGACTCAATTTTCACTACACAATGTTGACCTTTACTGTAATTGTCAATTTTTTCCTGCATTCTCTTTAGTTTTTCAAGTTTATTTTCATACAGCTTATTCAACTTTTGAAATCTTACATTTGCTTCCTGTAACTTTTTTTCTAAATTTTGAATTTTATCTAGTAAGACAAATTTTTCTGCCGAACTTATTGCATCTGAAACATTTTTTAAATCAAAATCATGAGTATCACCTACTTTTAAATCGCTTTGTTGATCAAAATCAAATCGAAATGGATTTGAAATCGTATAGTTTTTGTCAAATGACTCTGGAGATTGGAGACACGGTGCAGGCGTTTCTAACGGCTTACGTTCTGAATTAATGAAAGTGGTAGAGATTACCTGAAAACGAGTAATTCTTTTATAATTCAAGAGCAAGGATGGAACTGCATTTGGTAACAATTTTTTGTTTTTATAATAGCTCGTTATTATTACAAAAAAATCAAATTTCCATACCCACATTCCGATGGTTGTAAAATTCTTATCAGTAGAGATAGGACACGAGTTATTATTTAAATTAACATCATTTTATAGGTTATTTTTGATAATAATTTTTCATAATAATCGGATAAATGATAACAAAAATATTTCCAAAAAATCATTTTCCATACCGATTTTTGGAAAGCTGTAATTTTTCTATTTTTTGAGCTAGGTCAGTAAATACTGTGCTCTCTATTCTCATTTGTAGAGGGGTATTCGTGGTTAAAATTATGCCACACATTTTTGAAACACGCGATATATAATGTAATCTAGATGTCAAAAAATTATTTTATAAAAATTAAAACATTGAGCTAATTGAATTGAATTATCCTATGAAACGTCTCAAAACAATCTAAAATTAGATTTCGTTGGTGTTTATTCATAAAAATCGTTCACCACGGTTTCCTGTAATAATTTACATAAAAAATATTTTGACATTTCTCATTTGTCATTATGACATTTTAACTTCCACAGACATACGTTTTAAATTTCTATGCTTGCTTGGTAGACAGACTTTTTGATCTTTCTGTATAATAGATAGCCAATAGGAATAAACTACCCTCTCCATGAGTTTAAACGATTTCACTGCCATCTACTAGATTTTTTATTAAGTTTTGAAAAAATAAATTCATTTTACATCGAAGTGCCAAGAAAACAATTTATTCGTATGGCGGAACCAATTTTCCCTTGCAATTTTCTTTCCATCTATCCTTGTTGTTTGTAAGAACCGAACGTCGCACGCCGCCGCCTGTCCTGTCACTAAAATTTCGCTTTGCATTCATAGCCCCTATTATCGCTCCGCCACTGCTCCACTGTCAAACAGAAAGTGAGGTTATGTTAATTGTTTGTCAAAAAAGCAGTCTCAAGCATAATTAACAGCTAATATGTTGAATAACGAAACTGACAATTTTATGGTAAGGCTCTCATCAGTCAAATGCATAATTAAGTGGTAAATAATACCATTTTTTATTTAGAATCGGGTCCGGCGAGCCCTAACCCTCCCCATCAGAGCCCGATGTGCCGAATTAACCGTATTATTTGATCGTGGAAGCACTTTAGATTTACAGAATTTTTTCCCTCTTTTAATCGACAACATATTCGGCCCCCAAGGGACTGTTAGTTGGGGCTTACGTATAGCTAGAGACGTTAATGAGGATTTCAGACAACTGGAGCATTTTCTATCACCTTGTGGACCTGTCTTTAAGTTAATTTATACATTACTCAAAGATCCATCGGCTAAGTACGATTTTCCTGTAATGTATTTACCTGTACGTATCACAAAATTATGAAGAAATTTTTATTTGTTAAAATTTTGTAGATTAAGGTACAACAGATATTGGAAAATGCTTATTCACACCAATTTTATGCAGATATTGTTCATGTTAATCCTCAGACCAAACATGTAATTTCGTTATTATTAAGTAAGTGTTTTGTGTTTGTTTGATTGGGAATTATGTGATATTTTTTAGACCCTTTTGATTATTATATGTTTCATTTTGCATATCATTTGATAAACCCTTGGCACCAAAGATCGGGGACTATTTTAAGTACACAGCAACAAGCATCGTGGAATACGGTTTACTATGTGTTATGTTGTGATTATATGCTTCACTTTTTCCCAACTACTCCTGGGGCTTCGGTCCTGCCTGTAATTTATTATAATGGCAAAAATCCAATTCAGCCGTTGCAGCAAATGAAGTAAGAAACTCTTGTTAACTGAAGCAAAATCCAAATTGTGAAATTTTAAGATCTCCAGTTGGATCCAAACTGCTAAACTCGTCTCTTTTAAATAAATCAGAAGAGAAGTATTCGTTTCCCCAAAACTTTGGGCGCCATCCGCGAAACCAAATCTGGAGAAGTGAAACCGTTTTGACAGTTTTTATAGACATGTGGTTGAATAACGACCAGATTAGCCAGCCGACTAACCAAATTAACAGTTCGTTTAATTCTTCGTCAGTTCCGGTACAACAATCTTATTTTATTATAAATTTTAGTCTTGATCAAATTTGTTTTTAGAGATTGTTACAGTATACAGAACTGCCAACATCGGAATATATGAGAATAATACGTGTTTTAATAAAACAATTGCATGCATTTTCAGCAAGTGCCAAAATCGATGATACTTACCTGTGTGAATTGAAAAAAATTGCAATTCCTATGGTTGAGGGAAAGTTTTACATTTTTCTGAGAAATTTGATACATAGGTGGCCACTGGATGGCTCTTTTAGGTTACTGTTAGAACTGTGGTTGACTTATATTCAACCTTGGAGGTATCCTCCTGATACCACACAAGCCGACTTGTACGTAATTATTAATTACTTGTGACTGAATTTGCAGGGTTTGTTTACAGGAAAAAACAAAATCTTGATGCTGAAGACGCTATGACTACAGCCCCTTCTACAGTGGACCGTGAATATTTGCCTTTTATTGCTGAAAATTTACTGATATATGTTGTAATATTTCAACAGTTGCTTCCTAGATTTACTAGAGTGGATTTAGTGAGTCCTAAAATGTCCGTCATGCTGTACAGAATAAGCAAAGTAATACAATTTTCAAGTCACTACAACTTAAACCAACATTGATTTTTAGGTTTTCAATCAGCCAAATTTATCCTCGCTTCTCAAAGAAATCGAACAGTCGATTGAAAATAATCATTCCCCTTCACATTCGTACAGCAGTCACTGGTTGTCTAATTTACCGCCTTTAAATCCGACTAGTAATTGGTGCACCAATACTTCCTTGAATTCGTCGAATATATGGCCAATAAATACTTCAATGGTCAGTGAAACGTCTTTTAATTCGCCAAGGGGATCGGATTTTACTACAGACGCTAACCATTCGGCTTTTATGAACAGCTTGTTAGGAGATAAAAAGTGGTCTGCGATTGTTAAGCAAAGAATTTATGAATTAGAAGGACCTTTGTTTTGTTATAAACCATTGTTTTCCGTTCCGCCAGCTCCGGAGGTGAATAAGACACGAAAATGGCTGATTTATAAGTATCTATGATTTCATATTTTTTAAAGGTATATGAATTAATCATACAAATTAAGAGATCGATCAATGTGGCGCAAGAACTGGTACAAATAAGGAAACAGGAAGAACAAGAACATAACGCAAGCTTTTTTGACATACTTAGAGTTTTTTACGATTCATCAACAACGACTCACGAATTTAGCTTAAACGAACGGTTAAAAGTCCCTGAATATTTGGATAAGTCATTAGATCACTTGAAGCAACTTTTCCAAATATCAGAGGTTTGTATTTATTTGTTTTTCAAAAATTAATTTAAAATTAGTCTTAATACGTATTTTTCTATTGTCGTATCAACAAGAAATTACTCCCTAGGATTTAGGGATATTCGTGAATAGGTTGCCATAAATTTGATTAGGTTGGTTTTTGGTGACAAACAAAAGATATCGTAACTAGTGTCAAAATTTAGGTTAAGTCACCTGTCAGCTTGTAAGGAGATTTCAGTTGATAGCTGACAGCAGGTTGACAGAAAACGTCGACCGTCAACAAGGGGTAACCAACCCTAGGCATTCAAAATTACTTCTGAAAATTCTAGTTACAAACAACATGATAAACGTAATTTTCCTAAAAGTTCAAATCCTAGGTGGTAATTTATTGTTGACAAATCTGTATTTTGCGTTTATACTTAGGTCAAAACGAAACACTTTTGCGTATCGTACTCGACAAAAACGGTGCTACAAAAATTCAATATTAGCCAATTGCATAATTTTATTAAATGAATCAAATACGAAACTGTTCCTGTGCTTAGTTTAATTAATTTAATTAATTAATTTGCGTAGCCGACAACTTATGGAATAATTTTGGCGTGATCTCACATGGAGTAATAGTACATTACAAGCGAGGTGGTAATGGCATTACCCCGAGTGCTTATGTATACGATCGAGAGGCGCCAGCCTCGAGATCGGATAAAGCACAAGGGGTAATGCCATTACCACCGAGGTTTGTATGCTCTTTTATTCAGTCAAAAATTTGAGTAAAATAAAATTCAAACAAAGTTAAGGTCTAAACGTGGTAGGCCATCCAAATGGCGTTTGATTTTTGACATTTCAGAAATGTCAAAGAAAATATTGAAATAATGTGTGAATCTGATTTAAAACCGTCGAAATGGAGCAGTGTATTCCCCCAGAAGTAAAAGAAACTGCTACAAAAGCTACAATGTGAAAGAAAAAAATCCCGGTACTTTTGTAATTTTAAGGTTGGCTATCCTGCATATTACCGCCCAAGAGAAGTAATATTATTACTCCTCATGAGATTTAATGATGTGGTTCCGAACCTTTAAAAGGTTAGTAATCGCCATATTACATTAGTGATTGTGAATAAATTACTTATCGTATTTGTCGCTGTGATCCGTATTTTTTGAGGTGTGCATTGCAAAACGTTTTCGACACTTTCGGAATCCGATTTCACAAATAAATAATGACCATAATGACGTTTCAAATTAATATATTTCATGGCCACCTAGCCATCGCCCAAATGTGTCAGTTGCCGCACATTGAGAAATTATTTTGTTTATCCGCAAACGTATGCAAAATGACGCTTTTATGACCACCGCCTCCTTAATGAAATGTATCAATATCCCGCCTGGGCATTTCGTAAAAAATGAATTGGAGCAATGATTCCGAGTTTTTTCTTAGTTACGAGGGTTACTAAGGAAAAACCGAATGATTTTTAGTTATTAACTAAAAACAACGCAATTAATAAGGGCTGGAGAGGAAGGATACAACAAAACAAGATAAGCCAGGGAGAATTGATATTATGAGGTTGAACCCTTTAAGCAAAAAAACAACCGGGCCTTAGTATTAAAAAATAAACACAATTTATTTATTTTTTCGGGAAAATTATAGTCAACGCCATCTCGTGATGAAAAATTTTCCCAGGCCAAAAAATTTTGTACAGGGTGCTGCATTTTGGATGTCCGAATGGGAAATCTCCGAAACTACGATGTTTAGCCAAAAACGACTGATACATTCTGGGGCTCATTTTTTGAGAAAAGAATATTGGTGAAAACCGCATCTCGCTATCGTCTTTTGTTTTCGACTTACAGACAGAAGTTAACATTTTGGCGAAATCTAAAAAAATTCATATCTTCGTTATTATAGAAGATACGGATTTGAAATAAAGACATTATACAGGCACTTTTTTACGAGGAATTTAATAATGTAGTTAATATTTTTTTCAATTATTAGTTTAGCCGTAATAAGATAAACTTTAATTTTTTTAAATGTAAATCATAGATGGCTATGTCATTTTTAGAAAGCTTGTTTTTATATTTACATCTACTCAATTTCCGGTTGCTGCAGTTGCAGGTCACATTTTTGTGTTTCTCTTAACACTAATTTTTTATTGCTCAAATCGATAGAGTAATCGATTTCGAATAATACATATGTACAGTTTTGGCCACATAAATCTCGTACAAAATGTCGTTTCAATTTTTGTTTTGTTGTAATTTATACTTTGATTTGTCAAAGTGACGTTTATTAATTATTTTTGAGAAAATTGTTTTAAAAATCTTATACACTTTATGTCGAGGAGACTAAGAGCAGTACTAACTGCTAATAGAAATTACACAAAATATTAAGCTGCTAATAGAAATTACACAAAATATTAATGCTTGTTCATTATTACAAATCTCATCTTAATAAAATTTGATCGTTTGATTTACGCCAATTCATGTTTTTTTATATCAAAGTTTGTTTACAACAAACTTTATGAGGAAAATTTGACGTGATGTCAAAATGAGGTTGTACAAGATTTATGTGGCCAAAACTGTACTTTCTAAAGTAAACAAATGATTTTAAAAGTAACTAACTACAGTCACTAATTATTATTAATTATCAATTAATGTTTATTTATCAAAATCTAAAAAAAATCAGGTACCTGAATCCGAGCCAGACACATCAGTGATCACAACTTCGGCTTCGAGCGGTTTGGAAATATCCAGTGATTTCAAATTTCTCACACCGGAGCGAGTCAGAGAAAGAATGAAGAAAATCAAATACGAAGGAGATCCCGATTTACACCCGATCCGAACTACCGAAATATCATTTTTAGTCCGAATGTTGTACCAGTTGTCTCTTCAAATAAACTCAAATGTAAATACAGCAGTTCTGTTGGTATTTTTGTTTTGAAGTGTTGTTTTCAGTTCCGACAAAAGTTCTGTCAATTGTACTACGAACAGAGTTATTGGGGACGCTTGTCGAGGCAACTTTTAAGTTCTCCACTCACAATCTATAAATATGATAAAAGCAAACCAGGATCTCCGAGAGTAAGTATGGAATTACCGCCGAGAGTTAGTTTGAGATATTTTGCAAGTTATCACTTTTGGACGTATTTAATGATTGGGTGGATTATTGCTGTTACGTTAGGTTATGGTTTACCAGTTTATTTGTTATTTGCATTTTTTATTATATTATTGTACAAATGTGTAAGAGCTATCGCTGGTAACCCTGTTAGGCATAACTATCCGACAGAAGGTTTCGGAAATATTAGTTTTGATGACTCTTTTTAAGACTTTCGTTATCAATAAACACATGTATTAATATTGTGTATCTTCTTTTATGTTACCTAGAAACTTCTTAGGAGAACTTCCTTCATCACTGTCTCCTTTTTGTGCTAAATCATCATTATCCGAACTAAGATCATCATCATCTGAATATTCAGCTCTTTGTAGAAACAACTTGACTTTTCGCATGCTTTTCAACGAGGATAAACTCGACGATTTTTTGGGCTTGTTTGTCGAATTAAAACTCGTAAAAACATCTTCTGGAACCGGCGGTAAATTTACAACATTATTTAGATCTATGGAAGAGTCCCTTGACCAACTTTCTGGGTATTTTTCGTCCATATCACACTTGACACTTTTGTTGCTGCCACTTGGTGGTAAGTTATGATCGAAGAGTTTTTGTTTTGATTCAAGGAATTTGATTTTCTCGGAGATATAGGACGGACTACTTTGCTCACTTTCCGTTTCTACGTCTTTGAGATCTTCAAAATCGCTTAGTTGTCTATCAATCACTCCCAGCAATTTTTCGTAATCATTTCTAATACTGGCATTCGAGTTTACCACGTTTGTTCTACTTAACAGTTTCTTGGCTTGCAGAAGCGAATATTTCGATGTTGAATGCAGTGTTTCAATGGCACGAGTTGCTTGGGAAAGCATTAATTTCAGGTGCGTCATATATTTCTCAGCGGCGTTGCAACGTTCTTTCAGGTCCATTCCGATTTCGGTCATCAGGACAACATTTTGGAACAGGTCTTCGAGGGCTGAATCTTTTTTTGGGGTTGCTAGTAAGGAGGTACTTATGGGGTTCATTTCGAAGTGTCAGTGTCAATAAGTAATTGAAGTGTACTTCATAGCGCGCGTGATTAATATCTTACTAAAGCGTGATAGCTCCATCGCATCACACCCATGTAAAACGTTCAATTAACCATCTCTCTCATACAATGCGGGGAAAGGGGAACGGTGCAATTTTTATTAGACACTGTAGCGAAATATATCAAACTTTAGACAATAAATGATGATGAAAAATGAAAATTCAATTCATCCTTTACTGCAACGGACGGGTGATTTTCGTTAATTCATATTATTTCGGCTAAAAATCCATAAAAATGAAAATTAAGCAAAAAAAATGCACCAAGAGTGCCTTGAATTTCAATCAATTTGACACTTCTGTCACTTCGCATCAATGTGATGGTTCACACTCTTTAAGAAAATCAAACGAAAACCTCGGTAATACGGTGATAAACGTTGTGTGTGATTTGAAAAAGGCAAAAGGGTGACGTAATTAGTATTTGTGCAAAGACCGGTGTTGTATTTTTGTAAAGTGCGAGTTCGAGTTGGTGCAACACACCAGAGGTGCGAATGCTCAAAAGGACGAATGGTCAGAGGTCCGAATGTAGGCATTGATCAGCCTGCTTAAAATTGAATTGCAAGCACTTGGAAAACAGTTTCTGGCCGTGTGATACAAAAACTTTTTCGGCCGACAACATTTTTCAATTAAAACAAATTTATTGTTAAATTTTCTCCGGCTAGGGAATTAATTTTTCTTCTATTGGTAGCACTCACTCCACGGTGTAATGAWTTAAACTTAAAATAATTTTATGACATTTGTAAAATAATTAAGACTTTTGAGAAGAAAATGCAATTGCATTAGTTGAAAATGGATACACAAGATACGCCAGAGCATATTCAAAATGTGGCAGAAGCTGCAATTCAAAATTTATTGGACCAATYGTTATTGGAAAGAATACGATTTGTTGAAGAAATGGGCTTCTGAAAATTTTCTTAAAATTCGATTCATTCTAATTCGACTTTTCGGTCAAAATGTCGTGTGCAGTGAAATGGTGTAGAAATACGACGAGATTTGGGCCCGAAGGAATCAGTTTTCACCGGTTAGTCATTCATCATAGTTTGAGGTTATGTTTAAATCGTTTTTGCAGACTTCCAAAAGGTGATTTGATGGCTGTGTGGAAAGCTGTTTTAGGCTTGAATCTTGGATGAAAAGTGGCAGTGGACAGAATTTGTAACAGAAAGAGAACTATAGAACAGACTTGACATTTCAGTGTCACTCAATGCTACCAATACAAAAACTTTCATTTAAAAACCCTGTTTTTATTTTCTTGCCAAGACACGCAAATGGGTGTTTTCAAAACGATTTGAACGATTGGAAAATCACTAATTTTAGACGGAGGCCGAAAAAGGAAGTCAAATTTGAKATGACGGAAATAATGCATGAAATGTACGGTGAAAACGATGCAAAACCAGTGTCGAACATTTGCGGATCAGGTATTGTGAGTTCTACTCGGGGGCGAAGTCCCCGACAATTTCGAATCAGGTAGTGTGAGTACTATTCGGGGACGAAGCCCACAACAATGTCGACATTTGCGATTCAAATCTACTTGAGGAGCGAAGCCCCCACATTTTTCAAATTAGATAGTACGAGTTCTACACGAGGAACGAGGGGCTGTCCCAACGACTACTTCCACAAAACATTTGCAAATCCGGGAGGATTTGCCCGATATAGCTAGTTTTTATAGTCTAAGATCCGAATTAGGGTCGACCTTCACCCATCTGCTTACCGGATGAAACTTATTTTTTATCAAATTTAATATGCAAAGGAATGTATCGCGAATGGGTTGCCTAAAAAAATATGTTCAAGGATTTGATTTATTGAAAATACAAAAATTAATAATTTTTTATTACTTCACTTACTTGCTTACCAGAAAAATTAAATACCAATTGAAGGCACAGAACAGAGATTGAAGGTATGAAGCCTAAGGAGTATGAAAAAATTGGGTTGTCTACCTTTTTCTGTTCACTACTATTGGGTTGCCAGGTATGAACAAACAGGTGAGTCGATGTAGTAATTTGCACCGATCTGCTTGCGCAATAATTTATATATGGAAATAAAGATAATTTTATTGCGAACACGGTAGTATAAGGTTGCCTGCGAAAAAACGTTCATGAGTGAGGGTTGTCGAGCTTTGAAATTGAAAAATCGGAGCAAAAAAGATGTGCGACAGAGAGGTTAAAACTCAGTGGGACGTTGGAGAAAACTTTGAAAAAATATGGAACTACAAACTTATTTTATTAACTTCTTCAGTTTTCATTATTTTTTAATGTTTCCATACTGGACACTAAATAATAATTGTTTCATAACACGAGGATGAATAATTATATTTTTAAATTTACTATTAAAAAACTAAAACTCATAAAAAAAACAAAATTTGTAGATGTGCCAATATTGATAATGATAAACGTATTGTCACTTATAATTACATGAGAGCTTTTTTTTTCGAAGTAAATTTGACATTTTAATAAGAATTTTGTTTTCTGGCAAAGGAAACAAAACTCGAATTAAAAATGTCAAGTTTTCTTCGTAAAAAAAGCTTGAGTGTAATTCGGTAAGACAATTTAATGAATACGTAAATCACTAAATTAACAAATAAGGTGTAAATAAGTTTATTTAATTTAATGGAAAGTATTACTAGATTCAGACGCTTTCAAACGTTAGGTTCCGTTTTGTCGCTGTAATAGTTAGGGCAAACTTTTGTCGCTGTCATAGAAACAAAAACACCGCGGCTTATGGGATTTTTACTTTTAGTGTATGAAAAAATTGTCATTATAAAATATAAAATACAGAAATACATTCAATTTTTGATCGGTATTTATCGCCATCAAAGATTCAGAACGTCAAAGTCGACAAGAGTTCTATATTCCGTATAAGATTTCAGGACCTCAACAAATCAGGTCTACAGATTGTATGAAACTGTGGCTTGAAAACTGCGGTTGGTTTTTAGATGGTTTTTTAAAATCAACAGAATATTGTTCAGGTGAATGAAAAAGAAAACGAATCTTGCAAATTAGAAGGTCCATTTAATTTTGTTGAATTGAATTCTGCATAATGTTCAGCAATGAAAAGAATTCGACATTTTTTAAGTATTTTTGTATTAGAATATTATCAATATTGGCACATCTACAAATTTTGATTTTTTAATAAGTTTTAGTTCTTTTAATAGTATATTTAAAAATATAATTAATTATTCATCGTTGTGTTATGGAACAATGATTATTTAGTGTCCAACATGAAAACATTAAAAAATAATGAGAACTGAAGAAGTAACCAAAATAAGTTTGTATTTCCAAATTTTTTCAAAGTTTTCTCCAACGTCCACTGAGTTTAACCTCTCTGTTGCACATCTTTATTTGCCCCGATTTTTCAATTTTAAAGCTCAGCAACCCTCACTCATGAACATTTTTTCGCAGGCAACCTTATACCACCGTGTTCGCAATAAAATTATCTTTATTTTCATATATAATTTATTGCACAAGCAGATCGGTGCAAATTACTACATCGACTCACCTGTTCATACCTGGCAACCCAATAGTAGTGAACAGAAAAAGGTAAGCAACCCAATTTTTTCATACTCCTTAGGCTTCATACTTTCGAATGGTATTTAATTTTTCTGGTAAGCAAGTAGGTGAAGTAATAAAAAATTATTAGTTTTTGTATCTTTAATAAATCATATCTTTGAACATATTTTTTTAGGCAACCCATTCGCGATGATATGTATATAAAGTAGGTGACCTAAAATACTTAGGATTTTCGATTACAGATCTTAATAATCGGAAAAACAAGGTAATCCAGTTATACTCCTCATTGTTGCAAATAATAAAATGTAACCTTTTTTCAACGACAATTAGAGGTTTTTATAAATAATGTGTTATACGCGGTGAATAAACAAGGTACATACAGGGCTTTCATTTCAAAAGGATCCAGTCTCAATAACTTTTGACACTGAGTAAATGTATTTTCAAGCAAAAACAGGTCGATTAGGACCTCGAGGGGGAAGTTGAAAACCAACATTACTTACATTTTAAGTTTCATCCTCTAGTCGCTAGCCACCCCTACTTTAAAATTTTAAATGGCACCCCCTACTTTTTAGAACGTTTTCCGAAAGAGAAAAAAATCAGAGTCTCTAAATGTCAAAGAAAAAGGTTTATTGTCGATTTGTTTTTCAGTTAGGGGTGGTTTAATTTTT